TCAGTGAGCATATCTTCTCATTGTCCTGTGCTTTATGTGGCTCTTCTTCACAGTCCTGATCTCCAGGTACTGGAATGGCCCAGGACTCAGCTCTAGGAACTCTTCTCTAATTACATTCCCTTCTAAAGTGGTCTTATACAGTTCCATGAGTATAAATACCATCTCTCCATTAATAATTTCAATATTTATAAATCCAGCCTGACCCGTCTCTTAAACTCCAAACTTCACCCAGTTTCCCACTTGACATCTCCAATTGAATATCCAGTATGGATGTCAAACTTTGCATTTCCAAACACCAGCTTTTCATTTCCACCCCCAGCCCCTATCTACTTCTCTCTCTGTTCTCCCACCTCATTTAGCAGTGCCTCCTTCTGTCAGCTGCTTAGGTAAAAAGTCTTAAAGTCATCTTTGACTCCCTCCCACCTGCCTCTCAACCTATTTCCAATTTGTGGCAAATTCTATTGGTTTTACCTTATAAATGTATCCTAAATGTGACAGCTTCTTACGATCTCTAGTAAAACTAACCTGGTCAAAATTACCATCATCTTTTGGCTGGATGTCTAACTGGTCTCCCCCACTCCCACCCTACCTCTGCATACTTGCTTTGCTATATAACATGTAAATCAGGCCACTTTCCTCTTTTGGTCTCAACCCTAGATGACTGTTGACTCATTCAGGTAAAATATTAAATCCTTGTCAAGATCCTGCATATCTTCTGGTCATGTATGCAATGGGGACTTTATGTCTCTGGCTTATCCCTTCCCACGGTTCCCTCCCTTCACTGTACTATAGCCAGGATGGCCTGCACATGCCCCTGTCTTTTCCCTCACCTACGGTGTTCTCCCTGTCTGGATGCTCTTTCCTAGCTAACCGGTATTGCCTACCTCTCCCTTCCTTCAGGTTCCAAGTGTCGCCCCATCCAGGAGGCCTTCACAGGCTTTGCTTTATAAATGGCATTCACTCCCTGTCACTCCCAGTCACTGACTTTGCTGCATTGGAACGTCTTGAAGGTGCAAAGTTTTCTCTGAATTTTAAGATAATGTTTATGCTCAATTAATTAAAAATTTGAAAACAATTTAGGCTTTATTGATTTGGGACTCTAATTATTTAGGGGGGAGTTAAAATTATACATTAATATGTACATGTAAAATATATCATCATTTGTTTTTATGTACTTTTGCTAAATAAGTGAGACAAGATGTGAGGGGCTGTTGTATGTGGTGGGGAGGAAACTGAACTGAGATTTAGGTGGTCTGGATGCTAGTCTTAGGACCACCACCCAAGACTCCGCCCTCCCCTCTGAGCTTCTTCCCCTGTAAAATGAGAATGTTCAGTAATGTTGCCCATGGGAAATCGCCCCAATGCTCTGAGTCAGCACCACTTGCAACAAACTCTGTTTTGTTCCATCCTGTAAATATACGTCAAACATCTACCATGTCCAAGGTACCATGTTAATGACAATGAGAAACAAAAGGTACTGCTTGTTCTCATATTATAGCTCACAGGGAAGAGAAAACATTGCATACTAAAATTGAAATCAATATATGCTTTCAAGAAATTATGAAGTATAATTTTGAACCCTACCCTCATCTTTAGATGAGGAGACTGAATTGATGTTCAGGGAAGTGAAGTGACTTGTACAAGAACACACAGTTCATAAACGGTAGAGTCAGAGCTTTCCAAACAGGCCAACAAGCTTGATAACTCCAAGGACAGAATTCAGTCCATTTCCTCAATATTAGCTACTTTAAAAAAAAATCAGAGTATAGGTTCCAGAGCTAAATGCTTCTTTTCTATTTTGATAACCTTTTAGAAGCAGTATGAGAGCCTTTATTAGGAGATGATCTTTATATTTTGGCAACTTGATAGTTTATCTATATCAATATGCAAAAGCAGGCAGGACTTAAATGCCTAAAGATGAATAGTTTGTCCACCTGTGTACACAGTCCAGTGTTTAGACAGGATGAGCTGTGATTAATTTAAATCATTAACTGAAAAAGCCCACCACCACTCCACCCATCCCATAAGAAAGGACAATGAAATTCTCAAAGGGCACCGGAAACAATCCCAATGAAATAGTCATAGTTAATGCCTGGGTGGACACTATCCACCTTTGGTTCAATTTACAAAGACTATAAGAGAGCTTAAAGCCACAGGAGTCTCAACACACCCATCCTAGCTATGAACTAATTTCTCCCAGGCAATCAGGGAAACCTTTTCTAAGGAATTCAATTCCTTGAACTTGACCTTGCTAAGTGACTCTAGAATGGAGAAGAAAACCACTGCCAGAATAAAAGAGAATGCTTTTATTTTTGGCCAGACTCTGATCAGCAGAGAAATAAGATAATGATGCCTGATGAGTGAGTACCCCCTGAGGAGCCTTCCCTCAACCTCCAGCTGCAGAAAGAAGGAGTAGCCACACGGAGCAGCAGGACTGCTGGAGGCTTTGCAAGGCTGGTTTCCTGTTGATAATGTCACCACATTGTAAAAGTCCAATATGTCTTAGCTAAAAGGGACCTGTGTCACCACATGCCAACCCCTTCACTTCATAAATATGTCCTCAAGTTTAAAAAGTACTGGTCCCAGCATGATCACAGTGATATGAAGGTAGGATAGGCATCAGAATTTCCATTTTAAATGAGAACATGACCTCAGAAGATGTTCAATGACACACCCAAGGTCATACACAGATAGTCTCTCTGGGAGAAGCCTGAACCACAGTTGTATCCTCTGAGTCTGGCAGCTAACTGGCCTTTGCTAATCTTACAAAGCAGGACCTGGAGCTTATCAAGGCAACGTAACTGTCATGGTCACCCAGGGAATGAGCACACAGGCCTCTGGTTATTGAGCAATGCCCAGGGGAGAGGCCATTGCTCATCGTGTGGGCACGTATCTCCCAGGGCAGCACCCTGCTTCCTTCCTTCTTGTTCCCTAAATATCTCAGGGGCTTGCCCACCTGCCCTTTTCTACTACTGTCACCTATCTTCCCACTTGGGTCTCACTGGAGGGAGTGCCACAGAATCTTGGCAGGCACACCACCCTTCTTCCCCTGACCCCAGGAACCAGGAAACTTTCAGTTCTGTGGGCTTCTGTTTTCAAACGTAATAACCACGGGGAAAAATAAGTTAATGATGTACCAAAGCTTCTGGGTATTAGAAAATTTTAAAATACTAATAATCATTTTCCTAGGATAATAACTCAAAGTGCTTAACATAGCCTCAGCACGGTTATAGTTACACTTGGCCATTCAGCTAATTAGAAGCAGAACCAGACTGCAGGCTCCTTGCATCGTGCTCTGCCTCTTGAAGTCGCTTCATGGGATTGTGATGCTTGAATTAAACAGCGGAGGTAACAGAGGTTGTGACCTTGGGGGTGAGGGATGTGAGGCTCACAAGATGGGGCGATTCACAGCTTATTGGTTCTTCAGGAAGGGTCATCCAGAGAGGGTTCCCGCGTGGGTGCTGAGGAATGTAGGGCTCAGACGGATTGTACATATTGCTTGGCTCCTTGACAGGAAGAAAAAAGAAGCTAAAAGATGTATTTGGTTGAAGAAGAAAAGATTGACGAGAGAGACGGATAGAAACTGTTCCCTGCACTGCCTGCTCGGCCAGTAAGGTCCAAACCATTTTTCCTTTGGGTCCGGAGTCGATGGGAAGAGAGGAAGATTTGGGGAATCGATCCAGAGGGTGTTGGAGGCCTGGGGGGAAAGGTAACTTCCTTAGCTTTGGCCTGCTTCTCCACGGATCACACACTGGTGGAGAAATCGCCCGACTGCCCAACTGCGCTCCCCTCTCTGTTCCCCTGGGCACGACCTCCACACCCACACATTTATTCCCGTCTCTGTCCCAGACCGCTGCAGAGCACAGTGATTTCATGTCCCCCTCAGCTCCTCCCCGACAAGCCTTTCCAAGACTCCCCCACAGAAGGGTGGACTCCCCACCGTCCCCCAGGCAGGCCATGTGGAGTCTATCTTTTTCCTCCCACCCCTTTACACTTGTGTATTTGGTCTTTGACATAGGGGCTGACCCCACATGTTATATTACCCTGTGTCGAGCGCATTCTGCGGGACGGTGACTTGCAACACACGCCCCGTCTCCTGCTCTTTCTATTACAGGGCTTGACGTAGAAGATGAATGTTTATAACGTGACACAAGGAATTCCAGCCTCCCCTAGAAAACTGTGGAGGAGAGAATCCTAATGGACAAAGAATGCTGTCTTCTGGGCTCCAGCCAAATGTTTGGACTTCTTTTAAAATGCCCCTGCACTCCCCTTTTATCGTTTAGTGTAAACTCGCTACTTTGCCATAGTCCCTACTTGGTTCAGAAGAGAATGGTGACAAGCCAGTGAACATCTCATTTGTTTTCACAGAGAAACAAGTTGCAATTGCAGTGATGATGTGTTAATTTTAAATTAAATGACTTCTCCACTAAGAACCTTAAAAAGCCCTGTAGTTCTCCTCTCCTGCATTGCATTGGGTTGCGGGTGGGGAGCAAATCTGAAAGACAAATCAGATCAAAGGGCTGGGGGTACCCAGTGGAAGAGCAACTTATGTCAGCAGAAAACAGTTCTGCCCTGTCTGTCCCCTGTGGGTCCTTGGGAGGTGGTTTGGTGTGATAGGATGGCCGAGGATTTATTGTCAGTCCTGGCCCAATCACCTGGGGAAGTGACATAACCACTCTGAACCTCAGTTTCCTTACCTGCAAATGAGAATAATAATAATGATAACCTTGAGGCTATTGCAAGGAAAACTAATTATATAAAAACCCTCCTGCTGTGTTTTCCTTTGACAGATTTGTTGTCATCGTTATGACCCCGGGGGAGGAGAAGGGTCTTATGTAAGAGAATCTCTACCAGGTAGAAAGGGGAATTAAAACTCCAGAAAGGAGTTTAAGAAAATAACTTTAAGGGAATCCTAGAGGACAAAGGGGTCCCTGGGAAAATTGAGAAAATGTTAAGTCCTTTTAAAGAATTCCTGCATTGAACATGATATTTTCCCCCCTCAGGGAAGAGCATGGATGCAGCCCCCTACTACCACAAATTATGCAACTGAGCTTCCCACATTTGGGGAAACCTCAGGGGTCAGCACACCCAAAATGCAACGGGTTGAGCGTCACCCTGGGGAGACCACCTTCTTGATCATGGTACTCTTCCTGCCACGTGAGAATTAAACATGACACCTTTTAAGTGATGAACTAGAAAAAGCAAAATACTGGTATAATAATCAGGGATAGGACACAAATTTTCTCCAAAAATGAACTTAACATGCAATACATGTGAATTCATAGGTTTTCCAGGGCCTACAGAAGATTGTGCCAATATCAAAGTGTCCCATAGGGAGAAAGAACTTCACTCAATAGCTACGGAGTAGACCCAGTCTAGGTGTGGGGGAGAGAGAAAGCCATGCCTCTACGGTGTCAGAAAGCTCTGCAGTGGTGTCTAGCTAGGTCAAAGACCAATGGACATGCTGCATGATAGAGTGAGCATTAGATGCCATCCACATCCCCAACCAGACCGTTTGAAGGGACCAGAGCTGGAGCCAGCAACAAACAACGTGTTTCATTAACCATGACATTTAGCCACAGATATTAGATATGTGCCCAGGGTATAGACCTAGCCAAACACATTGGTCAGATACCCAGCTGGGAGACCCTCTTCCCCATCACTGTGAAGACATTCAGCTTCCTTCTTCAGTCAGATGCCACCCTGGCTGGGGGAGGTAGGGAGCCTAACTAATTAATCATTTTCCTAAAGATATCTAAGCTATTGTAAAGGACAAATTTTGAGAGCCTGTTTGAATCCAAACACCCCTATAAATGGAAAATTTTCTCTTCCCTGTCCGCCCCTGACCCACTGGTCCAGTAGAATGGGGACTTACAAGGATTAGTTACGGAGAAATAGAAAGGTTATTTTTATATTTTATTTTCTTTTTAAATCCTACTCTGAATTTAATAGCACCTCAGATAGGAGACACACAATATATATGAGTTCCCTTAAGTATAACTGAAAATATCAAATTGGGTGGAGTCCCTCAAAATAAAAAGATACATTTCTTAACTAAAGTTACTTTGGAATGAGCTGCTCATTGCTGGTACATTAAATGCAACTAGTACCGATTTGGAAGACGTTGTCTGTCATCCTCAGGGTTCGTCCAGGTTCCTTGGGGGGCAGAAGGAAGCTTGACAGCAACAGTGATGATAATAGTGTGTTTTACTTTTTCTTCAGATCAGGGTTGTTGAGAGTTTTAAACATTTTAGGGCCAAATTAGCAATTCAAAACCAAATTTTGACTTCTTCAAATCCACTCCACTTAGACATTCATTATGAAAGAGGAAACATGGAAGCGATAATATTCCATAACACTCAAATGACCAGGGAGCGGCTTGACTCATGGTTTTTAACTTTTTTTCCCCAAAAGGAATTACTATAGGGAATCCCGATTATGTACAACAGCTAAAGGTCAACAGCTCGGGGTGAAACAGAGGGCGGACGGGAGCCACACCCTCTGCTCCCGCTCTTTCTGCCCCTCCCACACACCCGGGACGTCTCTTCGGAACCACAGGCCCGCGGAGAGGAATTTGAAAATCGCTGCACATATACAAAATGTGAGCAAGCAAACTCCAAGGGAAAAAATATTACTAAGGGCTCCCATAAGTGTGATGCTTGTGTTTTGGGGAGTTATGATTCATCGACCGAATAAGAACTTACTGCCATTTCTTCAAGGGCATTTTACCCCAGGAATGCTGTGCGCACAGAATAGATTTACCGCACAGCCACAGCGGCCATTCCAAATTACGTTTGCATTACATTCTAGTTACGTTTGGTAATTACTGTCCCTTTGCTCTGGCTATACTTAAATATTCAAATTAGACACACTTTTATTGACCCAGACATGGTGCTAGATGTAACAGGAGTTACTACAATGTTCAGATCACAGATGTATCTCAGGGAACTCTCAATTTGACAGAATGAAAAGACATAACTATTTATAAAGGGAAATAATAATTCAAATTGGGTAACAATTCAAGGCAAGTGAAGAGATCTTGAAGGACAATATGTGCTTGAAGGCCAAAGCCATTGTCCAGAAAATAATTGCCATAAAGACTCAACACTAATATTGCCTTGTATCACAACTGCATCCTGATTTCAGTGTCTAGGAAAATGAAGGTCAGGGTTTGCACTACTTGGCCCGGTCACGTCCATCTCACCTGGAATGCTATCTTAGATCTGGGTATCTCACTTTTAGAGCAGCACGGTCCAAGGGTATGACTGGACTTGGATGAGAAATCATGTTCCGTAAAGAAGCAGTGATGGAGGTGCAGCTGCTTTGCCTATAGAAGGCAGCACGTTAGTGTTGTCCTTACTTCCGAAGGGATGTTCATGAAAAAGAATACAGCCAGTCTCCCTAACAACCCTTCTTCCCTTCCATCCTTCCTAGTCACCTCTCCTGTAGGGCTGGCACCAGGGGGTGCCATTTACACAGATTACAAAGTAAAGGGTGTTCCTTGGATCTGTGCAATGCAGTGGCCCAGCCACTGTCATCATGGAAAGGGATTCAGTGTGTAACATATGGATCCAAAAGGTAGATTAAAATAAAAGGACCAGAAGACCAGGGGAATTAAATTTGGTTCAGGATAAGGACATTTTTAACATTGGGGGAAGGTAGGGGGAAGTATTTGGAAAGGGGTCATATAGAGGGAGTCCATGCTTATAAGATTAATGATAATAAGTTAATTGTGCCTTTATGATGTGACATTCTACTTTTTCACAAATAGTCTCCTCTTTTTTAAGATTATTTATTTTTAGAGAGAGGGGAAGGAAGGGAGAAAGAGAGGGAGAGAAACATTGATGTGCGAGAGAAACATTGATCGGTTGCCTCTCACACGCCCCCAAATGGGGAGCTGGCCCGCAACACAGGCATGTGCCCCAACCAGAAATCAAACTGGCAACCTTTTGGTTCACAGGCTGGTGCTCAATCCACTGAGCTACAGTAGCCAAGGCTCCTTTTTAATCATCACTACCATCCTCCCAGGCAGGAACTATAATTATCTTTATATTATAGATAAAGAAACTATAACTTGAACAAATTGCTTTCTTTTCCTTAAGGTCTCACAGAAAACCATAAAAGAGCTGGTACTTGAGCTCAGGTTTCTCTGATTTCAGAATGCAGACTCTTAACCATTATGCCACATGGACTCGCAACAATAAGTTACAAAATCCCATCTTTCTTGTGTACTCATTTGCTCAATTGCAGCTAAACGTGATCTACAAATAAAATTAGATTTTGACCTTGTACATCAAAGACTAAAATCATTTCTGTGGAACAAAGGTAGGTGAGCTGGATTTGCCTGGCTCTCACCGCTCACTGATATGCATGTCTGGGACTCAGGGGTGAACCCGCACACCTGGGCTCCAGATGGGGAGAGCTGTCTCACACACAGCATATGCTGCCAGATGCAATTCCATCATTTCGGGCACCCAGTGCACAAAAGATGTGCAGAGGCTTATGCTGGATATTTTGATTTTGTCATTTCCCAAATGTACTCTCCAAAAATAATACCTTAGGGAGGCAAGATGTGGCCTTGTGGGATATTTCAGAGCTGCTGGTGGAGCTGATGGGAGCGGAAGGCAGCGGAGTGCATCAGAACACATGCGATGCCCATGATCACTTTGGAAACACTGAGATGAAAGAGACAGACAAAACCGTGAGCTGTGTGTGCATCCGACAGCTGCCGCTCTCCCATAGCTGGTGCTGTGTCTGCCGTGAAGACCATGGGGAGGCCCTCACCAAGGCTCTGTTAGTGCTAAAACAGATGTTCCTTCAGCACGCACATCCTAGGTGGCCACTTTAACGGGATGGAAAAAGATAATCTAAACCTTCCTGTTCTTGCCAAAATAACCATGTGTAGGTCTTTGTTCTGAAAGTCTTTGGAACACACAGATAGATTTCCAAGCAGTGGGAACCTCCTGTCCTGTTCAGTCTTTGGACAAACTCTTTTTCTGCCCATTTCACCCCAGTTTCCTGAAACTCTGGCTGCAGGGCTCCTGTGGCTGGAGCCTGTGGGAGGCTCTTTTGTAAGGACAGTTCTCACAGCCTAAGCCATCAAGGTGGGCAGTGAGGGACACAGGACTTCAAGCCAATGAGAGCAGTGACAAGTATTGCCTTGGCTCCCCCAGCTGAGAGGTTGCCCTTATGCGGGTCTGCTTGCTTCATCCAGCTCCTTTCCAGGGAAGAAGGTGGTAGCATCGCTGCTCGGGGGCTGCAGTTGGCACTGGCTGGCTGCGGGAGGATGGCAGAGGACTGACTTGTGGCTGATTCAAATGCTTGTGGATTCTTTTCCTTCTTAAGTTGATAGAGAAACAAGCTGTAGAGCAAGAAAACTTATCCTCCAAAGCAATCCGAACATGGAAGCCAAAAATTAATATTCAAATATTCAAACCTTTATTTTTTCCCTTTTCCATGCATTTGGGGCATTTGCAGCAGAGAGAGAAAATGGGAAGTTAGACAGCTGTTGAGAGGGGCAACGAGAATGTGGACAGAGAAATGGACTTGGAGCAAAAACACTCAGATTTGGGCCTCATCGCTGTGCCTGTGTGGCCCTGAGCAGATCGCCTTTCAGATCTGAGACCTGGGTGTCTAAGGTCCCTTTTAGCAAGAAGATTAAGACCTAGGTGTTCTTGGTTATGTAAACAGAATGCTTGCAAGGCCATAAGTATTTCCATAGTTAAGAACTATCTATTGAGTAATCAGTGTGTGGCTTTCTGAAGACAAGAGCAAGACGTCATGGTCCATATAGGCTAGATAGCTGTGACATGTGCCAACAGCTACACAAGTGAGAGACTAAAAATTCAACTAATTCATAATGTGAATAAATAATGTAAGTATTAAGAATTTAATAAACCAGAAGAAAAAGTTTGTACCGGGGGACCAAGAGTGAAAGGGGGTCCATGGAACTGTATTTTCTGATAGGGGAAAAAGAAATCCAACTCCTGGCTTTAATGTGGTACTTTCTATGTCAGTTGTTCAAGAGGCTAAAACACACAGGGACTCTCTAGCCCAGGGCGCACTCCAAATGCCTGCATGGCAGAGCTGTGTTTCATTGTCATTTGCAACAGGCGTGAGGGGTGATGGATTAAACAGAATAAGCCCTTCCAAGGTCACCTGAGAT